CGTAATTTATTATGAATATTAATACTAGCTCCTTACATGCGATACTGGCCTCAAGCATCCCTGAGGGTATTTGAGGGACTAGCGCTGTGGTTATGATTTCAGTGTATAGAGGAAATTCTCTTGCATTATTAAACAAATCACACCCTGCATTGGCCTTTGGTTTGATGTACGAAATGTGTAGTCAATGTTAGCCAGCTTGGGGAGAGGCATCTGCAACATGTTGGCGTTTTGAAAATAAGTTGGAAACTGTTGACAGAGATCCTCTCCTTCATCATGACCCATCAAAGGGAATAGGGGTTAAATATTTTAAAATTTGGAAAAAAAAAAACCCAAAGTTTTAAATAAATAGCATTTACCCTTTGGCTGTCTTTGTTTAGCATAACATTCATTATGGATGGAACATTTATACATTTGCAAAGTTAAGCATTTGATTTGACTTGTTATAGAAATCAGCCCTAATTGCCTAGTTTCCGTTAAATCCTCGCTTTACCAAATGTGGAGAATCAGAAGTTTTACCCTACCCAGCATTCACTTGCTATTTTTATCCACGTATATCATAGATCTATCTCCTGAGGTAGTTGACTAAGTAGGTGATGTTCATAGAAGCAGCAGGAGGGATAAAATCTGGCCAAAAAACCACGTTGGCTTCTTTGCATCTTTTTCTATTTTTCTCTGAGCATTCCCATCCTACAAAACCCAACCGTTCAAGGGGTTAAATAATAAAATTTAGTGTTTTCCCCTCTAGGTCACTGGTCGCAGTCCACCACAGGTCATGCCACAACCAGCTGATGGCTGCTAAGTGGTCTGTATGAAATTAGTTTAGTGGGTCTCAAGCCAGACGCCAGTTGACAGATGCCCAAAAATCAGTACTCCAGTTGGCTTCCTTGTTGGCCGTCACAGCAGGTTGGTCAACGCCACGCAAATTCAGCTGTTCCCCGAGGCTAGGAGCACAGACAAGGTTGCTTGTGAATACTTTCCTCTGTTGTGGATGCCAAAAGTCTTCAGAGGAGGTCACAGCACAATGCTACGAGTGCCAGTGTCTGAGGACCATGCTATCACCTCTAATTCAGCTACCCAGGGAAGTGTGGTAGTAAAGGTAGGAAACTGCTGCTGAAGGCTCCCAGCAGAGGCAGCCCTGAGGTCGAGGAGAGCACGCAAGGTGGCAACGGGAGTCTTGATCAAAGTTTTCACCCTTTGGCTTGTCCTGCATGGGAGAGCAGGCTGCAGAGCTGCCAGTCAGACTAAACCAACTTAGCATTCCCTGGAGTAACAATAAAAATCCAATCTCCCTCCCTCTCGGCCTTTTCCTCCTGATGCCAAATTTAAACGACCTTACTTTTTTGGCAGCAGGAAAATTCATAATTAAATATAGAAGCAGAGCAGACTTTCAGATGGAAATTACAGCAAGGGAACAACAGATGGCATTGTTTGCTGGGCTGGAAAAGCTGCATCTGCTCCTAGAAGAAATGCTAATCAGAGCTTAATTAGGCATTCAGAGGGAACCGTACCCCATCCCCAGGACAACGGCCATGTGTACACGATCCTGAAAACCACAAGGAAGTAGATACAAAGTCATCAAAAATCCTCACTGGACCAAGTCCAAATTAAGCGCATAACGTGATAGGGTAACCCAGAGACTTTCTTTGTGCTGAAATCCGTCCGAGCCACTCAAAATAAAAATGTAACTGGCAAAGACTTATTTTATTTCATTTGCAAGTGGTCAGTGATTTTGTTTTCAGTTTCAAAGCAAATAATTCTAGCATAGCACTGGAATCAGATCCTACTCTGACTGCTCTCTGACTCTCTGAGGTGTGGCAAGATTAAAGGGTAGCTGAGATCTTTACAGCAAGTGCTGCAAGTGGGAATAATAGAGTCGGAAAGATCAATAACACACACCTTGCCTAGGATAACCGATCCCTTCATAGAAACACAAAGGAAGAAGAGGATTGTGGAAAATGTTCCCTGTTTCATCCCAACTAGGTGTTCAAGCACAAAATGAGCCCCGTGGCATGCAGTGCCTGTGCGTGGTTAAAGCAGAGCACAGGACGTTTTTCCTCCTTCCCTCCCTCAGCCCTGTCAGCTTACCCCGGAGGTGCAGGCAAGCAAGGCTCTGTGTGTCCTTATTTCGGTGTTTTCTGTTCAGGGTACCAAACTGCCACCTCAATTTGGAGCCGGCAGAGCTGTTTGCAAACGAAGCCTACCAAGCGTTTCACCGAGAGGCTAGCCCCAGCTGCCAAATTTGCCAGCACCGCAGGGAATCCCACTGTGCTGAGGCTTTGCATTCAAGCCCCCATCTTGTTTTAATACCCTCTTTCTCCCCTAGCCTGGGTCACTGCTGCCAGCCATGGCATGGTGCTTGGCGCTGCTCTGTGTACCTGGGCTCACCATGCCACTTCAGATGCCTGGGACAATATGCACCTCGTGGGCAGTGCTAACGAGCCCCCCCCCCCCATTTTGCTGATTGCACACCCTAATTCCAATAGCCTGAAAACATGCTGCATGGATAAATCAACACCCAGGCCTTTTACACCTAAAAGGTGTTCATAAACAGGGTTTGTTACTGATTTCAAACAATACTCTCCTAATATTGCCAGAAAATCACCGGCGGTCAAAGGCATTTTGGAACAAGTGACCTAGAACTGCAGTAAAGGAAAGACTTCTTGGCACGGAGGCAACTTTCAGCAACTCCGAAGAGTGGTGAAGAGAAACGTAACAGGATCCTAAACCATTTCTGCCTTCAGCGCCGTTCTGCTTCAGAGGGATGTCGAATCCTGGTCTGGCACAAACCTCAGGGCAACTAGAATAAAAAAGTGGTCCTCCTGACAAATGATTTTGCTGCAGATGCTGAAGCTGTAAGCACTGATCACCCTTATTCCAGGGACTGCTGTGCTCCACCGCCACCACAATTTTGAGCCCCTGGCTTGGCTGGCTGGCTCTGAACAGCCTCCCACGGGCTGTGAGCGTGCTCTGTATCCCATTAAACATCACGACCCCCATCATGTCTCTTTGAGAGGAATCTTGGAGATTTGCTGACTGTCTGTAGCTCACTGACAGCATATTTATTACTGCTGTAATTTAGAAGAGACTTCTCCAATGATGAAGGTGGTGGCTGTACCCTTGTGCATGCTGACCTGAAGCTGGCCTTCTCCCAAGCACTGTATCTCCATGGTGTGTGGTGGGGGGTAGGCACTGGGAGCAGTTTTTGCAGAAAGGCACCCACTGCAGGTGTCCGAGGTCACAGAAATCAGGGAAGGCCATGTGCAGGGGTGCTGCTCTCCTCTGGAGATGGCATGAACCAACCTGTCTTAGCAGAGCAGCAGTGGGCTGCATGAGTCAGGTCTTCCTATGCAATGCAGGTGGATGGATGAGTTGCCCCATTCTCTTCAGAGGCTGTGCAAGCAACCATTCTCTAGCGTTACCTTCATGCGGTGAAGGCTGAAACATCCAAGGTGTCAGAGCTGCCATCCTCCTGCTGTTCATTGCCCGTGCGCTGGTAGGATTGGAAGACTTAGCAGCCCAGTTGAAGGAGAGATGTCTTCACAGCATGAGATTGTGCTAAATGAGGCCAGCCTGCCAGCACAAGCCCTGGACTCAGCTAACTTGTGAGTGTTGAAGCTCAAGGACATGGCAAATGGCAAGCACCACAAGGTCTCAGCTTTCCAAGGACAGCTGGAGAGCTGGTTCCCAGCTCATCCACATGTATCAGCGCATGGGCTCAAAGCAGGGCTGCTGCTGACCCAGTCTGAAGCTTTTCAGTGTTCACGGTGTGAGAGCAGACGCAGGCTTTGGCTGGCTGCCTGGAGTTTAAATGTCTGTGTTTTAGACCCAGACTTCCTTCTGAGCGATTCCAAAGGGAAAAGAAAGAAAATCAAAAAGCACTCCCAAGAACCTAATTTATCCATCAATGGCCAGTTTTCTGCCATCCCTTGAATCTGAGAAAGGCAGAGAGGAAGTGTGACCGGGGAGCACAACGGGCCTCTTGGCTGCCCTCTTTGGCTAGGAGGGTAGCGAAGGGAGCCAAGGGACTCCAGAGGAAGCGGTGAGCGGCTCCAGCTGGGCAGTGGTCCTGACAGCATCGTGTTAGCAGGAGGGAGAAGGCAGACTGCCTTGCTGTGAATCCGCCCCAGTACTGTGTCAGTGCTTCCTACTCGTTCCTAGGATTTGAAGGCTGTGTCCCTGGGCTGTCCTTCTCCATCAGCCCAAACCCTCTCTTTTTGGCAGGGGCAAGTGGA